TTTTATGTTGAATGTCGTAAAGTGTTAGTGATATTGAAAAAGTAGAGGAAATTTGCGTTAGTGCCAAAAAAAAAGGTTTTGCAAAGGATCTTTGCCCCAAAAATATAGGAGTTTTAAATTCGAAATAAATTTGAGCAATTTCTTTTTTCAGGATATTGCAAGCATTTTGGTCCCAGAAAATGGTGAAACATCTTTGCTTAATGGTTTGGATATCAATAATAATTTTAATGAGGTGGTTGACAGTTGGATCGTTCATTTGATCGATGATGCAAAATCTGTGAAATGGAAGGATGTAGTCGAGGATGACGTGAAATTTCGAGTTGAAGTACCAATGATGCATAAGCAAAACAAGAGGAAACCACCTGCTTTACCTCGTAAGTGGGATAAAAAGGAGGAAAACTAATAAAGGGAAAAGAACAGTAACGTAGTCGAGGATGACGTGAAATTTCGAGTTGAAGTACCAATGATGCATAAGCAAAACAAGAGGAAACCACCTGCTTTACCTCGTAAGTGGGATAAAAAGGAGGAAAACTAATAAAGGGAAAAGAACAGTAACCGAGAAGAAGAAGAAGAAGAAGAAGAAGAAGAAGAAGAAGAAGAAGAAGAAGAAGAAGAAGAAGAAGAAGAAGAAGAAGAAGAAGACAAATGAAGGGGAAGATTCAGTTTCTGGGTCGAAAATTGGCTGAGACTGAAACCAACTTGTAGAAAACGATTGAAGGCCAAGGTGAATATATGAAGAAATTGATTATTGTCGTTATGATCGCAACAGGTAAGTACGATTCACCTTTGAAACTGAAGCTATAATGGACTTATTGATGAAGAAGATGAACGAGAACTTGTCAATGAATGAAAAGGATGAGACTTCCATTCCACCAGACATACTTTGATGTCTATCAATTCGAAGAGTGGAATCGTTAGAGGTCGAGGAGGAGGAGGTAGAAGAGGTAGAGGTCATGGGCAAAAATCGTGAGAGCCCGACGGTTCAATACTACTATTTTACGATTCACTTTATCATAGCTAAAGGTTTTAAGGCAGGTTTTATGGCAGGTTATATACGACTTGCTGATTTATATAGAAAAAATGGCATCATCTTCATGACTCGCAGGTTTTGAGACAAAGACTTGTAGGTTTCCGTCAATAAATGTTAGCCGTTGTATTTAAGAGTATTTATTTAAAACTTCACAACGTTATGTAAAGTGATATAAAAGAATGTGCACATTTAGAAAGGAACGATGCGTCCTGCAAGACTAGCAGCATGTAAGATTAATGCCCTGCACAACGTACCACTTCACAATATATTTTGAATCGTTGACAGAACGACCAACCTATCCTAGTAAATTTGAACTGCGGCCAACAACAACTTGTCTTCAAGAGTATTTATGAAAACCATTACAACATTACGCAAAGTGAACAAAAAAACTGCATATTTATAGAAGTACGTCTGAAGGGGCACGTTGTTAACGGTTTGACATTAAATAAATATATTATTAATTAGGTCCTACATCTGAAGGGGCACGTCACTTCGTTATTTATTTAATGGAGTGGAGGTTCACACGATATCTCTACACGAAATCTCCTCATGGTACAGGACCTGCATCGGCCTGCACCCTTCCCAGGTTACCTGCAATAAAACCTGCGGTTTGTATTTTGCACTCTTTGTCTGATGTGAAACACCACAACTCTGCGGTGCTTCCACCACCCTAGTTACTTCATTTTTGTTCGGAGAACATCGTTTGCTTCTTTCAGCGCTTTCTCGTACTTTACCCGGAAGAGGTATTAGGAGACCGACTTTTTCCAATTTCGCGTACCTTGTTTGTTTTCTCTAATCCACACATGCGCAGGTTGTTAAGCAGGTACTCTGATCTCTTCGTATGTAGTACTTGCCTATTGCAGGTTGTGATCTCGTCTGTAACCACTTTTGACCCTTTTTGAAGATCTGTTCATTCTAACCAAAGCCAAAATGGATCTAAGAAGGCGTTTTCACGTTCCGCACATCATATCCTCCTACTGCACGTCCCGATTTCTCTTCAAAACAGGTCATCTTCATGGTACAGGACCTGCATCGGCCATGTTCTGGATTTGCTTGTTGTTCTGCAAGTTTTAAACCAGGACCTGCGTTAAAAAGTACAAATCTTAAGAACTATCTAAGACATGCGATACTAATTATTGTTGTCGCATTCTTCTCCGCAGGTGAGTAGTAGTTTTATTTAATTAAAGGGAACAATACTTACAAGGCATGCGACATGTGATACTAATTTGAATGCAGTAATTTTTTGGTATCTTTGTAAAGTTTTTCCTCCATTTTTTCCTCCATTTTTTTATTTTTCCCTCCCATTTGGGTTATATGGTGTTTTTGTCACTTTTGTTGTACTACCAAGAGTATGCATGTCATTTTAAATTTAAAAAATTATACAATACAAAGATTGATAAATAAAAGTATACTTTGTAAAGATCTTTTTTTGCACACTAATACAAATTTTCTCAATAAAATATTATAAAAAAATAAATACCTTATCCATATTTTGAAGCAAGCCAACCAATTTCTAGTTTAAAACATTTTCTTTTGTTGACGTTTATCAAGCACTACTTCCTGATACCGTACGATACATATTTAATTTAATATATAGAGAAATCGCCAAAAAAATTCTGTAGCCTTTAGATATCGACAAAAAATCCTATACTTTTTTTTATTACCAAAAAACTCTATACTTATATTTATTCATCGAAATATACTTATATTTTATAAATTAGAAAATAAGCCCCTAAACGCAAACACAAAAAAAACGTGGTCAAAAATCGGTCTGAACCTAACTCAACCGATATATACCCAAATTGAATTGAATCGATTAAAATAATATACCAAATTGGAATGAATATTTTAAATCCGAAATAACCATACCCGAAATAACTGAACCTGAAATAAATGTAAAACGAATAAACCGAACTAGAATTAACCGTAATCGAATATAACTTTTTACCTATCTATATATTATCAATTAATATCCAATATATTCTAAATTTAATTAGAAAAATTAAATATAATGATATTGGATTCACTCGAATTTGAAATATTGATATCCAATCTGGTATATTATTTTAATCGGTTTGATTCGGTTCGGGTATATATCAATCGAGTTTGATTCAGTTATTTCGAATTTGGTTATTTCGGATTTGAAATATTCATATCTAATATGATATGCTATTTTAATCGGTTCGGTATATATCGGTTGGGTTAGGTTCAGACATGTTTTTTATCATATTTTTTTGGCATTTGCGTTTAGGGACGTATTTGATAGAATTTCTAAAAAATATATATATTTCGTGTATAAATGTAGGGTTTATTTGGGTATAAAAAAATATAGGGTTTTTTGTCTTGGAAAGAATATATATATTTTGGTGAAAAAGTATAACTATATAATTTTTTTATAATAAAAAATATATAATTTTTTTGTCGACGGTTTAAAGAGAATAGAGTTTTTTTTTTGGCATTTTTCCTAATATATACTTAGGTTCATCATTCGGTTTGGCCTTATTACTTAGACAATCATTTTCGATTTTCTTATAAATTAATATTTCTATCTATACCATTCAACTTTTGGACCGTAGTTTTCAATTCATATTTACATTGTGTGTCATCATTGTCATCATGCTTCCGTCCTCTCTCTCTCTCTCCTCTCTCCACTGGTAAGTTTTTGTACCTTCTCTCTCTACTTTTCTTTCTCTATAATGGCGAATCTGGTTTGGGCTCAAGTTAGAACTCGATCAATGTCGCGTTAGGTTCGCCTCCACGTCACGAACCCTAAGCATCTGGTCCCGCGTCGTGGGTTTATCTCTTTTTCCAGAATTTCTACCGGGAAAATCATCGTCCCAAAGAATTTCAGATAGAAATTACGGCTCTCGCTGTCGGTATTTCTAAAACTGATACCGGTTTTGGGATCTTCAAATTGTAAATTTTCGATCAATGTAAAATTTTTTTACATACTTTGAGTTTCCCGGAATCCACATTTCCATGAGCTTTACTTCAGATTTTTTTAAATTTCTTTTTCATGTTAATTTTTTTTCCATTTTATTTTCCCGCCATTTAAATCGCAGAGAAATTGTCTACGGAACAAACCGCTTTGTCGAACTTTTAGGATCACAAAACTAAGCTACCACCCATTATTTTTATTTTTTTTTAAAATGAAATAACACAGATCTTTACAGCTTTTTATGTGGTTTGGGGTAAGATTCTTTGCAGATTCCGTATCAAAATTTATGGGGAAGAGACATTTCGATATGATGAACACTGCATATTTTGCAGGCTCTTCTTCTCCACCGTCGTCGTCGTCGTTGACGCATGCAACAAGAACAATGGATCTGTTTCCTCGGCAACCCATTGCCCATCAGACCAAATCCCTTATTGGGTACGTTTCGTTTCGTTTCGTTTCGTTTCTCTCCGACAAAATCTCCCCGTGTTTGTTTTTGCCATTGTTGTACTGTTTGTTTCTTGTGTCACAAGTTTTGTATTCCTTGTCCTTGAACCAAATTGGTCTCATGACTAAAAGCTTGATCCAGCTCATGTTCCATATCATACTTACATCATTACATGAATGATGATGATGATGATGATGATGATTTGTTTGCTTTGTTGTTCTGTAAAACCTTATAAACTCATCAGGACATTACAGTGCCATGATTTCAATGATTTAGGTTAAATTGCATAGGGAAAGCTGATCACATTTGGCATGTGTCCTAACCATTTTTCAGCGTGAATGGGGCTCAAATCACAGTGGTTTACGACGGGAAGGTGTTCGTCTTCGACGAGGTTTCGGCCGAGAAAGCCGAAGAGATCATATTCTTGGCAAAGCAGAAAGGGAGTTCCCATCACTTGTGTTCTCTCAAGTGACCAAAAGCAAAATGAAACACTTCAGATCTCCCTTGTTCTTGTTCTTCTTAATTGTCGTGTTCTCTGCATCTCTTTCTTCTTCAACCATCGTCTCTCATGACGAACGGGCAATCACAACCGCGAAGCGAAACAGGGAGTAGCTCGGTCGCAACTAATCAAATCGATTTTCCGAGCTTGCTGGACAATCTCAGCCATGATGTTGCAGCTTCCATGGCTCAGACGTCGGGCGGTATCGTTATCCAAAACTCCCTTTCCATTGAATTTTCTTGACGGCTTCGTGAAAAAAAAGACAGCGTTTGACATGCCTTCCTTCCACAATACAACAGGGCTACCCATCGCAAGGAGAAGGTCGCTTCGCCGATTCTTGGAGAAGAGGCATGACAGGTGGTACCCTCACCTCTCCCTGTGCTTTATATATTCAATGCATGTTATACTCACATATCCACCACAAGTATCAGATATTAGGGTGGGCGTCTCGACATTTCGAAATTTTAGCGGTTTGGTTCAAGAACAATTTATTCGGTATTCTAAAATTTATATCAAATTAGAACCGTATATTATTTGGTTCGGTTGAGTTCCGGTTCCCGCACGGTCCGATTTCGGTTTTTATTAAAAAAAAATATTTTATTTAAAAAAAATCGATTTTTCGGAAATTTTATAAAGTTCGGTTAGGTTCTATAAAATTCGGTTCTATAAAAAACACATCGTTCGAGAATTTTGAATAGTACAATTCGAAAAAAATATTGAGATTTTTTATTCGGTACGGTTTGATTCCGAGAAACCGATTCCACCCTATCAGTATCAATATCGTTACAAAATACTATTTATATATTTATTGAAATTTTACAAAATTATCTTTAATTGTTTATACGAAATTTAGATTTCGACACCGTATACTTTTGAAATATCCAAGATTCAGATATCAAAAATCAACAAATAAGAAATCGAACTTCTGAATTTAACATCCAAATAAATCAGATACTTTAGATACTCTAAAATTTTTAAATTACATAAACTCATATGAACATCTCAACACTCTGTGTTTTATGATTATTTTTTAAATATTAGTAACTTTTTTATGTAAAGGCGTGTCGACAATGGACCGTACCACACCTCCGGTGGATCTTCAGCGGCAGCGGCTGCGTCGAGGCCGAGGGAGGGCAAGTCGTGGTTGGGACTGGCTCCATGACCCCCGCAGTATAATATAAAAGGCTCCAATTAATCACACATTTTTTGTACTCATTTTTTAAATAACTATACATATTCTTTATATTTAGAATCGAAGTTTTTTTTTCTTCATATTATTGTTAGAGAAAATTCTAATAAATACATGAATTTGTTTAAATTTCATAAATGCATGTATTATTTTATTTTCTAGAGAATACACCAATTTGTAATTTTTTTCTAAATTTCTACACAAAACTAATGCTGTTAAATGAATAACGATTTTAAAATAAAATCTATAATTAACTAAAATTTAAATTAAATTTAAACTAAAAATTAAAAAAATAAAAAATTTTAAATTATGAGTTTGTAACCACTTAATTTGTCAATTAAAATAAAAATGCTGTTTAAATTCATATTTTTTCACCAATAATAATAATAATAATAATAATAATAATAATAATAATAATAATAATAATAATAATAATAGTTGGCCCTTTTTAATGGATAAACTATAATTTTATTACGAATTTCTCTATTATAAAAATCACCAAATATGTTATTCTGTTAAAAAAACAAGTTTTATTTTTTTATGTTATGTGTTATATTATAATACTTTTTTAATATTTATTTCAAATTTAGAGTTAGATTTGTAAAAAAAAAGACTTGGATAATATTAAAGTTATCCATTGACTAAGTAAGTAATCAACACATAATCGTAAATATCTAAACAAACAGTTTGTTTATTTATGTTGATATAAAAATCATATGAAACCCTACTCGTTAAATTTAAATAAAAAAATCAATCAGACAATTTCTTATTAAAAAAAAATATTCCCATTTTAGTGTGAGTCAAATTAAACCCATTTTGAAAATTAATTTTATTTTTATTGTATTTATAAATTTTAGGGTTTAACATGGAATATAATTATCATATATATTATTATTGTATTATATAATACAAATCCAAAAATTATCCATTAATCAACAAAATTAATTAATATATTGAGAAGTTGAGATTTATTTTTTAACTGACAATTTTAAAAAGATCTTCTGTTCAGTCATTTTAGATGGTTTAGTTAAACGACGGATTTTAAAAGATTTTTTTAGAATAAATATATCAATTAATTGGCCTATAAATACAAGACATATCCAAAACCCTCACCATATCCGAAATCACTTGTGTTCTCTCAAGTGACCAAAAGCAAAATGAAACACTTCAGATCTCCCTTGTTCTTGTTCTTCTTAATTGTCGTGTTCTCTGCATCTCTTTCTTCTTCAACCATCGTCTCTCATGACGAACGGGCAATCACCATTGATGGTCAACGCAGAATTCTCATCTCCGGCTCTATTCATTACCCACGAAGCACCGTCGATGTAACTATATATTATAACACGCACACACACATATATATATATATATATGCATGTTCATGCAACTTTATTAACGTTTTTGGCATTTGTAGATGTGGCCCGATTTGATAAACAAGGCGAAAGATGGCGGTCTAGACGCCATCGAGACGTACGTTTTCTGGAATGCTCATGAACCGGCTCGTAGGCAGTATGATTTCTCGGACAATCTCGATCTTGTTCGTTTCGTCAAGACGGTACAAGACGCTGGTCTATACGCCGTTCTTCGGATCGGGCCATACGTTTGCGCAGAATGGAATTACGGGTTCGGTTTTCATACATTATTATATCCATTCGTTTATATATATGTGCATGTACACATTTAATTTGTGTTGGTTCTATCTTCGTTAATGCTTTGGATTCCTTCTTGTTGATCTAGAGGGTTCCCCGTGTGGCTGCACAACATGCCTAACGTGGAATTCAGAACCACCAACACTGATTTCATGGTAAATAAATGTTTTTTTTTTATGTATATTCTCATTGAATAAATACGCTCAGATTCTAACTTTGTAGTATTTTTTAATGTAATTTTTCACAGAACGAAATGCAAAACTTCACCACTTTGATAGTCGATATGATGAAGCGTGAGAAGCTCTTTGCAGTTCAAGGCGGTCCAATCATTCTTGCTCAAGTATATATATATACACACACACTCATATACTTTGTTCATATCAATTCATATTCCAGGTTTTTGAAATTAACACTTATTTTTTCTGTGTTTTCAGATTGAGAACGAGTATGGAAACGTGATCCAGTCGTACGGAGCGGCTGGTAAGGCCTATATCGACTGGTGCTCTAACATGGCCGATTCTCTCGATATCGGCGTTCCGTGGATTATGTGCCAAGAAACTGATGCTCCCGAGCCAATGGTACGTTTCCGACACTACGAAACCCCTAAACTCAGATCCTTGAAAACTTTTTGTTTCTCGGACTGATCGATGGTTAAACTCTTGTTCAGATCGAAACGTGCAATGGCTTCTACTGCCACGACTACAAACCGACAAACCCGAGTAACCCTAAGATGTGGACCGAAAACTGGACCGGTTGGTTCAAGAACTGGGGAGGGAAACACCCTTTCAGAACAGCAGAAGATCTTTCTTTTGCCGTTGCCCGGTTCTTCCAAACCGGCGGAACATTTCAGAACTATTACATGGTATGATTTAATTAAGATTTTGGCATACATATGATCGTCCTCGTGGCTTATGTAAAGATAGTGTGTAACGTTTTTGATGAATTCGGGTTTTCAGTATCACGGTGGTACCAACTTTGGAAGAACAGCAGGAGGTCCATACATCACCACTTCATACGATTACCACGCTCCTCTCGATGAATTCGGTGAGTAATTCACTCATTTTCTTCCCTTATATATATATATATATATGGTTCTGAATGTTTTTGGATTTTTTTTTTTTTGGATTTTGTAAGGTAACTTGAACCAGCCGAAATGGGGACACTTGAAGGAACTCCACAATGTGTTGAAATCCATGGAGAGGTCCCTCACTTATGGAAACATATCCGACATCGATATGGGGAACTCTGTTACTGTAAGCACGCTGGACTTTTATCTACTCTGTTAATTAACATGATGTACGATGTCGTTGTTATTATTATAGTCGTTTGTGTGCATAAACGTTTCAAAAGGTGACAACGTACGCCACGAGCGAAGGATCCAGCTGCTTTATAAGCAATGCTAACACGACGGTCGATGCCGTAGTAAGCTTCCAAGGGAATCAGTACAACGTCCCGGCTTGGTCAGTCAGTGTTCTTCCCGACTGCAAGAAGGAGGTTTACAATACCGCCAAGGTGAATAAATAATCTTTAAAAAAAAAAAAACTCGTTGATCACCGATACAGAATGGAGATTTATAGCTTCTGAATCTTGGAATTTGCAGGTGAGCACTCAAGAATCGGTTATGGTTGCGGAAGACGCGCACGTTAGTGGAATCCAGTGGAGTTGGAGGCCCGAGATGGCGGAGGACACGATCCTTAAAGGCAAAGGAGACGTTGTTGCAAGCGGTCTGTTCGATCAAAAAGCCGTTGCGAATGATGCTAGTGACTATCTTTGGTACATGACCAGGTAATGACCAGAAGTTTTACTCTATAGTTTTTTATATGAATGAAATGTTGTCTTATATTAATCGGGTTTTGTAACGTTTTGATATGGAATAGGGTTCATCTTGACAAGAGCGATCCGATTTGGAGCCACAACATGAGTCTTCGTGTACACAGCAACGCCCATGTTCTCCATGCATACGTCAATGGAGAACACGTTGGTGAGTAGTGTCCTCTTTAAATGTTTAAAGATCATTACACATATATCTTTCTTGATGAAGGCATATTGAAGGATATGTCTCAAATTATACGAAACTTTTTCAGGTACCCACTTCGTGAAAGATGGAAAATACGATTACGATTTCGAGAAAAGCGTCAAACTCGTCCATGGGACTAACCGTATAGCGCTCCTCAGCGTCACCGTCGGGTTCCATGTTAGTGAAAAGCTTCATATATCCTAGTTAGGGTTCATGATCATCTTCATAACCTATTCAAAAGTATTTATCTGACAGAGGAAAGTGTGTTTTCAGAACTACGGAGCATTCTTTGAGAAGAATGCTGCAGGCATCAACGGTCCTGTTTCGATAGTTGGGTACAAAGGCGACGAGAGAATCGAGAAGGATCTTTCCGGGCATCAATGGGAATACAAGATCGGATTAAACGGAATCGAGAACAAAGTTTTCAGTCCAGATTCAGCAAGTAACCTCAAATGGTCGACCCAACAGTTTCCTACATTCAGAATGCTCACGTGGTACAAGGTAAAGAAGAAACTATACAAAACCCTAATCAATGTTTCAATTACAGACAAGGAAACACGTTCCAAACACACATCTTATATGCAGACACCATTCGACACTCCTTCTGGGAACTCTCCTGTGGTAGTGGACCTAAATGGTCTTGGAAAGGGTGAAGCATGGATCAATGGTAGAAGCATTGGACGCTACTGGCCGAGCTTCGACGCTGATAACGATGGCTGCAGTGAAGAATGCGATTACCGTGGACCGTACGACAGCAACAAATGCGCATTCAAATGCGGAGAACCAACTCAAAGACTGTAAGATTTTATACCAAAAAAAAACCTATCTTTTTTCAAATTTCTTGATCGAAAAGAATCAAACCCTATTCTTGAAACCCTTTTTCATCAGATACCACGTTCCACGAGATTTCTTGAACGGAAACAGCAGTAACACACTGACACTGCTGGAAGAAATGGGAGGAGATCCGAGTATGGCGAGCTTCAAGACGATAGGTGTGGGTTCTGCATGCGCCAGGGCTGAGGAGAACAAAGTGGTGGAGCTTTCATGCAACGGGAAACCAATCTCAGCCGTTAAATTCGTTAGTTTCGGTAATCCAACCGGTAAGTGTGGATCTTTCGCCAAAGGGATGTGCGATGGAGCTGAGGATGCTGAGGCTGTTGCTTCAACGGAGTGTGTGGGAAAGATGACGTGTAAACTCGAAGCCTCTTCCACGGTGTTTGGAGCTGCAGATTGCGGCGATTTGGCGAAGAGCCTTGCCGTTGAAGTCGTCTGCTAGGTTTTGGGTTATGATAATCTCTAGGTATTTTCTTTTTTGAGATTTGTAATAAATTAGGGAGGTTTTTTAGATGTAATAAAAACATCGTTATTAATAAAATTTTCTCCTTCCAATATCCATAATTACATCGTATAATTCGAGTGAACCCATGACAAAATTACACACAATGCTGGTTAGATTTTGGATCGGATTTATTTAACCAATTCAAAATAAAATTAACCGAATCGAAATCTATTTACTTTTTTATCAAAAAAAGAAATCTATTTATTTATTATTCTAGGCAAATTCTCTAAAATAGTTTTAATCAAATAAACAATCCAGTAACTAGGTTTTGGTTAGGTTTTAGACCATTAAACATATGGTCAATTTAATTAATAACCAAATATCGAAAAGTAATAAAAAATAAAAAATAAAAATCTCACTCTATAAAAATCAAATAAGGCCAAAATAAACCGAATAAAAAGAGAGAATGGTGATAATTTTTTAAAACCAAAATAACCGTAATTAACGGGTTGCCCTACCCCCACCCGACCCGATTGGAGTGAACGGGGACAACCGGACAAGACACAAGAGAGTTCTAGAACACTTCCTGCAACCGGATATTATAAGGGGTCTCATTTTCGTGCCCGTTCTGCAGCTTGAGTGTGCAATTTTTAGGGTTTTATCTTTCTGGAGATCTCCAGCATTCTTATCCATCGACGACAATCCGTTTCTCTTTATCTTAAGGTATGATTTTCTCATCTTTGCTTCGAAATTCTCGTTAAAGTTGCAGTGCCCCATCAGCGATTTTAACCCAAAGTTGAATAAAGCGAAATGAAACTGAAGTAAAATCTGGTTTCTTCGATGGTGATTGGGTTCGAGCTGAGTTTTATGAAGGATTTTGTTTCTCCAAGCTCCTGCAATCTAGAGCAGATAATATTTAGGGGTTTTACCGTGTTTTCTTGGGGTTGCAGAAATGGCGGCGACCCAGTTAACAGCATCTTCAGTGGCCGCGAGGAGCTTTGCCTCGTTCGAAGGTCTGAGACCCTCAAGCGTCAAGCTGTCCTCTCTTGGAACAGCGAAACTAGGAAGTCTTAGACAGAACCAGTTTCGTGGTTTGGTCGTCAAAGCTGCTGCGGTTGTTGCTCCTAAGGTGACACCCATTTCTCAGCTTCCCTGTCATGTATGTGACATCGACTTGTATGAATATACATTGGAGCGATGGTGTGGACTGAATGTTCGTTTTCTAAACTGTATGGTTCACTGAATGCCATTGAATGCATTCACTAGTGGTCTTCAGGCTGTGGCCAATTTTCTAATGATTCCATCTCACCTGCAATGCATACTGTGATACAGTGAATTCAGTTCAATTTGGCCCATGTCATTATGTTAGTGTATAGCTAGCTAGCCTGCTATTCTCTGTCAAAAATGGGTTGGTTGTTGTCTCGGTACTAGATCTCTCTTGTTCATTCGGGCTTTGTTTTCGTATGAAAAATTTGCAGTTCACTTTTATTAAGCCGTTGGGGGATAGGGTTTTGATTAAGATCAAAGAAGCAGAGGAAAAGACCGAGGGAGGAATCTTACTTCCATCCACCGCTCAATCGAAACCTCAGGGCGGTGAAGTGGTTGCCCTCGGAGAGGGAAGGACGGTGGGGAAAACAAAAGTCGACATCTCTATTAAGGTTCAGTTTCACTACCCTTTCAAGCCCATCATCTTCTTGCACTCATTTTCTTCAGCATCATCATACAAAATAAATGTGTTCTTGTCTGAGGGTAGACGGGCGCACAAGTTGTCTACTCAAAGTATGCAGGAACTGAGGTGGAATTCAACGATTCAAAGCATCTAATCCTTAAAGAAGATGACATTGTGGGCATTCTTGAAACTGACGATATCAAAGATCTCAAGCCTTTGAATGATCGTGTCTTTATCAAGGTTTTGGTTGCTACCCTTCACTGAAAAATACCATTTAACATCAACAATGGAGGAAAGCTGAATCGGAAATTCATGTTTTCAGGTTGCTGAGGCCGAGGAGAAAACAGCCGGAGGGTTGTTACTAACCGAGACTACCAAAGAGAAGCCTTCCATTGGCACGGTTAGGGTTTTAACGAAAACATGATCCTTCCTTTCCCATTGATCTCTTTCTCGCCGGTTCATGCATAAATGTAAACACTTGTAACATACATTTCATATTGATACAGGTGATAGCGGTCGGGCCGGGAGCTCTAGATGAGGAAGGTAACCGAAAGGCACTGTCGATAACCTCGGGAAGTACTGTTCTTTACTCTAAGTACGCTGGTAACGACTTCAAAGGGAAAGATGGTTCAGACTACATTGCTCTTAGAGCGTCGGATGTGATGGCTGTTCTCTCTTAGTGTTCCTATGTGCTTAGACCATTTGGCGAATAAAATGCCTTCTGTTTTTGTTTCCAAAAAAAATATGGAAAATTTTTTCATGTAACGGCGGCCTGAGTTCTTATGAAATGCAGAGACTTGAGTTTGGAAATGTTGTTTCACTGTTAGTGTGATGTTTAGGTGCTTTGTTTCCACCATTGCCCAATGCCCTTGGTGTGTGCCAGCGAATGGTACTTTGGTATTTCCAACAAATCCCAACATCTAATAACCGGTTTTCAGCTCCGGTTTGGCAGACGAACCGGAGCCCGGACCCATAGTGACGGTAGCATACTAGCATAGACGAGCTTTTGCTAATTGAGAATCATCTATAATCGGAGTAATTACATTCAAAAACAAAGTTTCTCGTACACTTCAATGTTATAAAACAGAAGATTTACCGTGTAAAACCTCGTACCGTTGTAGCAGGGGAACTGTCTTCAACGAGAAGCAGTTCCACGTTACAAACTGGGAAAGAAAGAATCAGGTGCCGTGCCGTGAGAATCTTCAGCTTCTACTGATTGAACGAGGCGGCAGCCGAGTTATCGTCGTAATTTCCTCTCCAACCGTTTCCCTCGTCACCGCCGCCACCGCTGCAAGCTTGATCGGTTACGGGTAAACCCACGAAGCTCTCGTCGAGGCTCATCTGTTGAACTTCGGTGAAAGAAAGGATCTTTATGCTTTGAACGCAGTTTACAAACTCTCTGCAATCGCATATGGGGGAACCCGAGTTACGGAAACCGAAGATTCTGTCTGAATCTGTGAAAAAACGAATCGGGTAAGTGTTACTTACTCCCATGGATCATCGCCCACGAGTAGGATGTCGTTTTCATGATCGACATAGACAAGTTTCCAGTCGGATGTTTGTGGATCTTCCAACTGCCCTACGATTCCGAACATGCGAGCGAGATCGTGCCTGAGTTCGTCGTAACCTCTGTACCTGTTTACATCTATGGATCTTCCTACCGATCCACGTTTTTGCACCTGTATTGATTCAAGACGATGTCAAACAAAGCAGTAGAAGACGATCGTGTTCGGAACGAGAAGACGAAACGTCTAATGGTGGGGGCTAAAACCCGAACCCACCCCTGGGAATGACCACTTCAGACACAAAACTGGTCCTTGGCTATCTGGCCTATGAAATGAAACTACTGACCTTGGTATAAGTTCGCATTCGCTGAGTTTGGTTCGCCCACAACCCGCCACCCAAAACTCTGGGATCATTGACAACTACATCATTCGATATTGCTGGCACATTTGGAACCCCGAACGATTGAGTCCTCACGGCAGAAGTTGACATCTCTGTACCGATGTCATTTGTTGTTCCTCCATAACTCGAAAGCAAGTTCTGAAGATCTTTCTGGGAATCATATCCCCTGGAAAGTACTGCGTCAGGTACAAAGCTATCAACATTAGCTCCGGAAAGTATACAGTTTCTTGGATATGATGGGGCGGCGTCACCATCGAGGCAAAAGGTGGGGGCCGAGAGATTTTGCTGTATGTTACCACCATCCAGACAGTACGATGTTTTTCCAGATGCAGATGCTTCACCCTTGATTTTCTGCAGGTCGGAACCTCGGGAACTTGGAAATTCTTGCTTAAACCGGATATCAGGCTTGCTGTAAAGCTCCTGAACAAGATTACCCGAGGCATCGGCCACTGCATCAGGGACCAAGACAGGTGGCCCGCTCTGGCTTCGATTCAGCAAGTTGGATGAAGAGTCATGACAATTATTAGCTGAAGGCGACGTTGAACAGGAAGGCGGTTCACCGTCGGTAATACCCGAATAAGCTTTGACGACCCCTTCAACCGTCTTTTGCTTTTCCCGGGGCTGGCTCACCGGGATCTGTGGAGGTTGCAGAAGAGTTGATGTCGATAAGCTGTTGTTACAGGATGAAATTTGCTGACCCTGAGAAAGAGGAAGCTGTTGCTGTTGCTGATTTTGCAACTGCTGATGCAATAACTGAGACTGTAAGAGCGAGCTTCCCTGCGAAAGCAGCTGTTGCTGCTGCTGAAGTTTTTGCAGCAACTGAAACTGTAGCTGAGGTTGGTCGAGGAGGCCTTGTTGGAGAATCTGTTGAACCTGAGACTGGTGAGCTTTCTGTGATAGGCTCTGCGGTAACGGCTGCTGACTGTGACCATGTAACAGTCCCGAAGGCTGCTGTTCTACCTGCCGTTGAAACTGCGAGTCTTGCGGCATGGAAGTCAAGTTAGATGAAGTCTTGCTGGTTCCGTTTACACTACTCTGACTCAGCTGTTGGCTACTGCTAGCTGCAAAAGGCCGATGATGTGTTTGCTGAAGCTGCTGAGACTGCTGCTGTTGAAAGCTCTGATTGACAACAAGGTTTGGCGTGATCATATTGCTCGTTATTGCAGCCGAAACCATATTCGTCTGCAAATGCTGCTGCTGCTGCCCAGATGCTTGTGCCTGAGCTTGCTGCTGTGGAAGCTGCAGCTGCTGCTGTTGCTGTTGTTGTTGTGGCTGTGGTTGTAGCTGTTGCTGCTGTGGCCGTGGTTGTAGAGGTTGGTGTTGCTGCTGTTGTTGCAGTTGCAGTTGCTGTTGTTGGTTCAGAGAAGTCTGCAACAGCTGTTGCAGCTGCTGTTGTTGGGACAGTGTAGTGGGTGGCTGCGGCAACTGGTGGGAGATATGGGTTTGGGAGTTTGGTTTGTTGAACTGAAGATTCGACGAGGAGAGCCCTGGAGCCTGAAAGTTCAGAAACTTGGAAGGATCGTCGGTGCCGAGATTGTTGTGGAGAGTAGTAGAAGTAGTCGAGAGCATGGATGGGAAGATCCCCGACTGTGCAACGGGTAACTGCCCATTTTGCTGCATGTTCATCCATTGAACTAAACTCAGCCCGGGAAAACTCGAACTCGACGAGTCCTTCATGTCGAAACTATCCCCGAGCCATGGCATTGCCCTCTTCAAAGCAGTCTCTATGTCACTCTCATCCTCTGCAAAGTTAACACCTTTCCAGCAATCAGTAATCAAACAAAGAGAAACTAGAACTGAAGCAGACGCAGAGGATGTTTTCGAGGACATAAGAAACGATCAGCCGAGATCCTGTCCAGGGAAAGACATCAAAAAGACTACCTGGCATCCCGTGCTGTCCTGGAAACTTGGGTCTGAAAAACGGAGGCGGGCATATGTAAAAAGGCGTTAAGACTGGTTCGATATCCCAGACCGAGACTCGACTGGGCCGGTCACCAGCAGCTGATTCATCCCATCCAACCTAGTTCGAGTACAAGAAACGGTAAGCGAAAACAAAATGAATAGTGCAAATACATACCACGTAATCGAAAGGGAAAACTCCATATAAATACACCAACTTTTTAAATGTTATAAAAAAATATGAAACTCCAAAAACAATACACCAATAGTCAAAAAACATCGCCGTACTAATAGGAAATTGACGGTATTTGACTATTTGGTGTATTTTTCAGGGAGTTTCAAAATTCATGTATTTCGTTTATAACCCTCGAAAGGAAATAAACATCATAAGTTCGTCGAAATTTACCTGAAGATTACGCCATTGCGAGTTTTTCCATCTTAGGGGATCCAAGTCACTAACACCAGTAATCGTACCCATATACCTTCGAACCCCACATTCTTCGGTCTCAAACATCATCCTAAACCGCATACCTAACGATACCTGAGAATACATTGCCTTTGTATACTTAGCTAAGGGAACCACAAATTCGGTTGGTGCAGCCCTGCAAAAGCCCGTTATCAGTGATTTCCATACTAAAGATTTGCTAAAATAACGCAAAAAAAGGTATGTAGAAACAACCTCGGATTATAAAATATTGTGAACGGACTGTTATTAGTGGCAGCGTGAGCTGCAGCGGCAAGAATCCCGATATGCATACTGTCACTTGAAATAACGGATGAAGAAAGAGCGGGCTGTTGTCTATTTGCATGCCTTATACCCAGGAGAAGTTGCGATTTTCCATCTCTATGTTAAAACGGAACGGAGTTGAGCATCCCGAAGACAGAAAAGATCGAAAAGAACGCAGATTTGCTTGGCCGAGCCATTGAACTTAATCAATACCTTATAAAGAGAACAGAATCACCAGCGAAGAGCCTTTTCGTGCTAACGAACACGCTCCAGCCTGTAGTTAGCAGATGCCTTTTTGGTTGACCTGTAGACATCGAAAAATCGAAAACTAAGAAACCGGGGATCTAAAAAAGACATGTAACATGAGAATTTCTAAACACGGGAAATACCTCGATAAATATGTCTGAAAGTCCACGAACTCTCATGAATATCTTTAGCAACGAGCTCCTGAGCAGGCGGTTGCATCGAGAAATCCTAAAGAATAGAGAAAACAAACGATTGAATATACGAGAATAGAGACCATAAATATCACAAAAACATACTACTAATGAATATAAATTGTATAACAATACCAAAGGAGGAAAAATTTTCTCCGCTGCTCGACGAGGAACAGAGAATCCACCATGAGTGCTCGTGTCGCTTGCCGTCAGGGTTTTGCAGAAAAATTCAGAAGGTTGCCTGTTTTGCTTAAGACCCAACTCAGAGGCAAACAACGCGTCCTTGTCATACTGTCAAACAAAATGCTCGCTCGATTATTCCCCCGAGAAAAGAAACACCATCAACTAGAAAACCTACTTTGTTTACGGGCTGGAGGGTCATTTGAGCGTAGACTTCATCTGTCTCGGGATCAGCCTGGTTTGAAAAAACACATCCAAACATAACAAGTTTCAGCTCCTAAACCGAAATTATCAGACCCAACACTTGCATGATTCCATTCCCAACCATTAACTACGTTGTAAGAAAAAAAATTCAAGATTGAAGGGGAAATCATACATGAAGTGTAACACTATGGAGCATGCAGATGAGCTTTGAAGGAAGATTCGGGTAGCTCGGTATGAAATCGGTCTGCTTCTGCATTGAAGCTGCAACCTGGGAAAGATCGGATTAGGAGAATTTCCATCAAGAAACCGTGTTTTCAGCGGCGGTTAATGACACAACTGTCTTACTTGTTCACTGTGACCTTGAGGGAAGTAGACGACCAGACTTCCGGCTGGAGGCACCGAAATGAGCGGACCGGCACAAGCATGCCATAGTTCCGAATTTATAGCTTTCCTCTCCCCTGCTCTCAGAACCAATTGGAAAAAGGGGAATTCGATCTCACAATCCTTACAACTCGTGAAATCTTTCAACACAGAACCATCAGATTTCGGTCCAAGCCCTTACATACACACGTTTGCTAGAATCGGACAATGCTCTACTTTAGCATACTCTACGGCCAATACTCATCCAACAAGGAGCAATTCAGATGAAACATTGTCTCAGATTCACTTATACAGCTATATTTGGACATGAGATGAAGCAGACAAGGGGAAAGACAATGAATTTTAACATAAAACCTTAATCGAAAGTGGTAACATCATAAAAAAAAGGATATAAAGAATGGGCAAGAAGAAACACAAACCTCCTCCTGGATTCGGAGAGACCCCATTTGATGAAGGGGCTTTCATGATTGATGCTGTTTGAACCCTAAATCTCTAGGGGGAAACATCTAACAATCCGAATCTGAGATCTTTTCGTATGATTTCAAGCCCTAAGAAAAGCTAAGCTCTTCTCTCAAGAGCTTCATTCGTCTTCTGCTCAAACCCCAAATCTGATCAAAACCCTAAACTTTTCTTCCCCAACGAATGAAAAAAAAAGGAAGCAACTTTTCAGCTCCCTCTTCACATTCTAAGTTCCCCAGAAAGAAATTGCCAATCTGCAGAATTGAAAAACAAATGGAGAAGCCGTCTCTCTCTCTCTGCTTTTGCTTCCAACCACAGTTCCGATACCTCCAATAAAGAAAAAGATAGAAAAATTTGTGTATCTGCGAAAGATCAGACTACTTTTTCGCAAGACAGAATCTTCCTGAAGATTAAAGATCATAAACCCAGAAGGGTAAAAAAGATTCCACTTTCCGACAGAACTTCCAAACGAAGTTGAGAACTCAAGAGACCTAGAAGACAAACAGGAATTGTATTACATTAACCAAGCCGATCCTTTTTTTCCCCTATTTTTCAGTGCAAACCCAGAAGAAGATTCAGTGAATTAGATTAAAAAACTAATGAAACTGAAAAATGGGTTAATAAAAAAAACAAGAAAAAAAACGCAAGAACGATGAAATGGAGTGGCAGCAAAATCTGGACACAAGGATCAACTGGAGAGAGAGAGAGAGAGAGAGAGAGAGAGGCAAACAGGGTTGTCGGAAAGGGATGATCAGAGACCGAGACAACTACCAAAAGGTTTGCAAAAGCACAGAGACAGCTTTTTCCAAAAAAAAAATATTTTTTTCTTCAAAATTGGGATATATTTAATAATGTGAATGAGCCGACATATTTCACTGATGCAATCACACCATGAGGTCAGAGAGGCCACTGTAATTGTAAGATTTTCCTCAAAGAAAAGAATTAAACTTCTCTTCGTATTTTATTTTATCTTTTAAAATATAGATATTATTATATTTTACTTTTGTAAGTAAAATAATTGCAATAATAAATCTAAAGAACAATATTGGCTTTTCTAGATACAAAACACCAAATCCATTTATTAGTAATTATTACATTAAATACTACTATAAAAAATAAATGTTGTCATAAGAGCATCGTCGTTTTCGATTATTATATTCTCTTTGTATCGATTTCCTGCGATAATTATATATCATATATCAAATATCACAACCATTCACTATATTGTAATTAGAGTGTTTAAAGTTATCTTATTTTTGCATATACAGTGAATTCTAATTCATGAATGGGATTATGTATAGGTCGAATTTAAATTCAAATTTTACAATTTTACAATTGGATAATCTAAATAATTAAAAAAATGATCACATTTTATTTGATATTTTATCTATATTTTGGAATTTTTAATAGAAAATAGAAATTTTGACGGAAATCAAAAATAAAAATTCAGATACCATATATTTTCGATATCATTTTTCGGATAACTTATCATAATATCCGAATGCACCCTTCGTGTAATATATTTGTCTACATGCCGCATATTTACTAAATTAATAGTAGTTAGTGTCGGAATTTCACTGAATGCATTTTTACAGTTGAATCCTGTTTTATATTCTGATTTCTTTTTACACCATTTAGAAACCAAGCGTCAAAAAGCATTTTCCACGTGGATTTTTCATCCTAAATTCATCGACTAAACAGAAGCCTGATAAGTCGGTCCAAATCACAATTGTCCAAAGACGAAATAATTTTGAATTTGAAGATATACATAAAGCAAAAATAAGCATCAACCGCACATTGTGAATGGAGGGTAACAATTTTTTTTTAATAACGTGGAAATCCAGAACCATTATTTTTTGGATATGCACCGAGTAAATCTTCATTTTCATATAAATAGTTTATAAAGATATAAATCAGTTTAAATTGGATATAAAAATCGGTAGCTTACATAATAATTATATATATAGTAAAAAATTAATGAAATAACAAATAGTTAATGGTACGAAAGGGGAACTCTGTCTTCAACCAAAAAAAAAAATACTCTGTCACTGACCACCGCAACGCAGAGGATGGAGGTTGTCACATGGGAGCTTATATGTTTATTTGGATTATTGCTTATAAGACTCAACCACTATTAGTAATGACCTGTTTAAATCAATCAATGAATAATACCGCTTAATTTCTCAACAAAAATTGTTCTTAATCCATTTGAATTTATCAATAAATAATTTTACTTAATCACTTAATCACATAATTAATTATATTATTTTTTTTCCTATAGAACCAAACTCAAGACTTTTAAATTATCATTAGGGGTGTAAAATGGGCGAGTCGGATCGAGTTCGTGGCGGACTTAGTTCGAGTTTAGATTTATATATATATATATATATATATGTATGTGTTGTATATATATGTATGTGTTGTATATATATGTATATATATATGTGTGTATGTATTGTATATGCATGTATATCTATATATATATATATATGTGTGTATGCATATGTATATATGTATATATATATATATGTGTATGTATAATGTATATGTATATATATGCGAATGTATATATATGCGAATGTATATGTATGTATGTATATGTATATATATGTATGTTTATATATATGTATTAATATATATATGTGTGTATTTATATGTATGTATATAAATATGTGTATATATATATGTGTATGTTTATATATGTATGTATATGTATATTTTTATTATTTATATATATGTATATTTATGTGTATGTATATATATATGTTTATATATGGTATATATATATGTGTGTGTGTGTTTATATGTATATATATATGTATATATGTGTATGTATATATTTATATATGTATATATATATATGCATATATGTATATATATATGTGTATGTGTATATATATATTTATTATTTATTTTATGATTTTTATTTAATTAATTAATTATTATTATTAATTAATTTATTAATTATTTATTTTTTATTTTTTTATTTAATTTCTGACGTGCCGATGACATGGCGCGATGATTAGGAGAGAGGTTGAGAATTTCGCCGCCACGTAGGATTTCCGTTTGTCTATGTGGCGATTATTTGACGGTAGGTATTTTTTGCCAATAATTTAAAAGTATAGAATTTATTTGGAGAAAAATCAATTGTACAGGTATTTTACAGTGATTCTCCCTAATAATAATAATAATAATAATGAGTTATTTAGCAATTTTTTATTAAAAAATCAGTAATAGCAAATTTTCGTCCGTATCAATTACAGTTAAAAACTTCTAAATCTAAAAAATAATTATGTAAATTTTAAAACATATAAATTATCTAATATTTTTAATATATATAATATATAAAAAAGATATTCAGTACAATAAAAAAAAATATAGAAAAGTATTGAGATAAAACTTAAAACTCAAAATTAAACTCATAATATATATATATATATATATATATAAATCAAACTAAAATTTAATCAAATTGTTCAATAATATATATATATATATATATAACATACAAATAAATTTTTTTTATATAATGTTGTGTGATATGAAATCTCGAGTGAAAGTAGAAATCTAATAATCTAATCCAAGTCACTA